AAGAAAAAAAAGACACTTTGAGAGGCTGAGGTGGGCAGATCATGAGGTCAGGAGATTGAGACCGTCCTGGCCAACATGGTGAAACCCCATCTCTACTAAAAATACAAAAAAAAAAAAAAATTAGCTAGGCATGGTGGCACGTGCCTGTAATCCCAGCTACTTGGGAGGCTGGGGCAGGAGAGTCACTTGAACCAAGGAGTTGGAGGCTGCAGTGAGCAAGATTATGGCACTGCACTGCAGCCTGGCAACAGAGTGAGACTACGTCTCAAAAAAAAAAGAAAGAATCAGGTTATTCCGTTTTAATATATAGTAGTCACCCGTCTTTGTTAACCTCACAGGCACAGGATATACACAAACTGAGCAAGTGTATAGCCCCAGGAAGCCCAGGTATGCTGGGTGGCTGCGCTGTGGTGTCATGGTGAAAACCCATCTCTACTAAAAATTAGCCAGGCATGGTGGTATGTACCTGTAATTCCAGTTACTCAGGAGGCTGAGGTATGAGAATTGCTTATGCCTGGGAGACAGAGGTTGCAGTGATGTACTGTAGCCTGGATGACAGAGGGAGATTGACAAAAAAAAAAGAAAGAAAAGCAAGCAAGAAAGAAAATGGGTTTCCAGGTTGGTCATGAGAATGAGGGGCAGGGCGGCAGCCCGAGACGGAAAGCAGGATTCAGGTAAGAGCTGCTGTAGGAATCAGAACCTGTGAGGGCATCTGTCAGCTGGCAGAGCTGGAGGGGGGGACAGTTAATGGAAAAGGAGCATTGCAAGGAGGACGAGGCAGCGTTCTTACTCCACTCCCAGGCTCAGGAGAGCGAGCCAACCTGCACCCATCCAGAAACCCTCTCTAGAGTATGTATTTGTTCCCAAGGACTTCATCTCTGAGCTGGTTCCAGACTGACACAGAATTACCTATGGGGTTGGTCTGGGGCACCAGGATCATGGGATGGTAAGCCAATGAAGTTCAGCTGGTTTCTTTAAAGCCCCAAACTTCTTGGATCCTTTTATACTAGGGGACACAGCCTGAAGCTCCAGAGGGGGATGAACAATTCTGACTTTCCAGTCTCAAGGGACCACAGAATGTAAGTGTCCTGAAGCATGTGGCAAAACTAGTGTTTCCTAGAACACATACTGAAAAGGTGCTCATCCCACAGCACTGAAAACATTCCCACTCATTTCTGAGAATCTTTGCTCAATCTCTTTTTTTTTTTTTTTTTTTTTTGAGACAAGAGTCTTGCTTGTTGCCCAGGGTGGAGTGCAGTAGCGTGATCTCGGCTCACTGCAGCCTGTGTCTCCCGGGTTCAAGTAATTCTCCTGCCTCAGCAGCCTGAGTATCTGGGATTATAGGCCAGCACCACCACGCCTGGCTAATTTTTGTATTTTTAGTACAGATGGGGTTTCACCATTTTGGTTAGGCTGGCCTGGAACTCCTGAGCTCGTGATCTGCCCACCTTGGCCTTCCAAAGTGCTGGGATTACAGGCGTGAGCCACCGCACCTGGAATCTTTGCTCAATCTTTAACACAAAGGGTAAAGTTACTTGATTTGAACTTTATGGGCTTATCTTTCTCCATGGCACATTGTAACAGCATGTTTGTTCCTGTCCTTCCTTCTCACAAAACACAATAAGGGTCCTCTGACTGAAAAGTACTCTGAATGGGTCTCTCAAAGCACTTGTTTAACAGGAAAACTCAGTTGGGCTAGGGCATTTCCTTTCTTTAAAAAAAAAAAAAAAGACAGCAACTTTCTGTGTTACAATGATATCATCAAAGAAACGTTCAGCCTCTTAGGCGGTGCTTTCCTGGAACGGGTACTGGTCCCTGGCATTACCAGCCTGCTGCTACCTTGAAGGGTGACTCAGGCTCTGATGTCCTGAAGAACTGATCCTCTGAAGCAAATTATTCAAGATGTGAAATGTCAAGAAAGACAGATTAAAAAAAAAAAAGAAGAAAAAAGAAAGAGAAGTTAGGGTGACACGGACCTTAATCGGGAAATTCCCCTAATGACAATATGGTGGGAAAGGAAAGAGGAGGAAAGAGGGATGAAGAGAGGAAGGGAGGAAAGAGGGGAAGCTGATTGGCTGTGAGGGATGCAGGGCAGGCGTGAAATGGGAGGAAAGAGGTCTAGCATTTACTGAGTATCATCTGTATGCTTGGGAAGGGCACAGAGAGGTATTAGAATAAGAATTTTTGTAAAAAGTCACAGGCAATCATTTGACATAGGTTTTGAGAAGCAAGAACCACCCATATCACCCAGGAATATAAACCACTCTTTGAAAAGACTACGAAGATTCAAGACCAAACTTTTTTTTTTTTTTTTTTTTTTGAGACAGAGTTTCGCTCTGTTACCCAGGATGGAGAGCAGTGGTGGGATCTCAGTTCACTGCAACCTCCACTTTTCAGGTTCAAGCGATTTTCCTGCCTCACCCTCTCCAGTAGCTGGGATTATAGGTGTGTGCCACCATGCCTGGCTAATTTTTGTATTTTTAGTAGAGATGGGGTTTCACTATGTTGGCCAGGCTGGTCTCAAACTCCTGACCTCAGGTGACCCAACTGCCTCAGCTTCCCAAAGTGCTGGGATTTACAGGGGTGAGCCACCGTGCCTGGCCAAGACTGAGCTCCTTTAATGCCTATGTGCCAAGGGTAGAAATCTGCAAAACATATGCCCTGCAAACTAAATGATCAGGAAAGGACCCTCACCACCAGAATGGGCAGGCAGAGTTGGAAAAAAGCAGAGGTGAGAGTTTCTATCCACTACATGCTTCTCTGACATTTCTGCAGGCACCCAATCCTGGTCCCTTTGCTATGTCCCGGACCACACGTCTGATGGCGTGCTACCAAGCACCAAGAGCAAAGTTGACCCTCGACCCCCTGGAGCCAATACGCCTGCCATCCCAGATATCTACATTTGGTAGAGATTCCAAAACTGTGATAGGAGACTAAGCAGTGCCGCTAGGGGGAAGGAATGAGGAAGAAGCATGTTTTATTCAGTTTGGGCGATCAACTAGAACTCCCTTGTAACTTGTCTGGCTGCTTCAGCTTTAGCCAGTTCACCCATATCCAGTCTGGACCTGTTATGACAGAGGCCAACTTCCTGTTCAGATTGGTGGGATTTCTTTTTTTTTTTTTTTTTTTTTTGAGACAGAGTTTTGTTCTTTTTGTCCAGACTGGAGTATGGAGTACGATGGTACCATCTCGGCTCACTGCAACTTCCGCCTGGTCTTGAGCTCCTGACCTCAGGTGATCAACCTGCCTCAGCCTCCCAAACTGCTGGGATTATAGGCGTTAGCCACTGTGCCTGGCAGGAATTCCGTTTTAAGTTTGGTCAAGTATCATGATTTTAGTACCTTCTGCTTCAGGGCAGAAGGCACTTAAGCTCAATCCTCAACAGCTTGAAATTACAACCAGAAACCCACTCTAAGAGGTAATGCATCTAAATGTTTGCTACGGAAAGGTAGGGGACAAACAACATACACGAGTCAAGGGCTTCCCCAAATTTGGGTGAGATGGGGCTCCCATGGGTACATGCACTCTTCACACTAGGACTCTCCCCGCAGGGGAGATTCTGTCACCAGAACAGGAAGAATCATTGCAGACATGGATTTCATGGCATGTCACTTTTTCTACAGGTGAAAATTGTTGGAAAAAAAATATCTCATTTAGGTAGCAGAACCCAAGAAGGAGAGACTAGAGGGCTGGGTTTGGCATGGGGGAAAAAGAGGCTAGAAAGCCTATAAGGGCAGAATGGCAGTAACAGAGACCTCGGAAAAACCAGCTAAAATTCGAGGCTACTCTAAGGCTGCAGGGAGGCGTGTCTAGGGGGCTGAAACCAGAACGCTATGATAATGACTTCTGTGAATGTGACACTAAGATTATTCAGCTGGAATTTGAGGGATCACTATGATATCAGCCTGATATCAAATCTGGGGTCCAGAGTCTTAGCTTGCTCATGGAGAAGAGCTGCAAGAGCAGCCCACATCTGTTTGCCAGGGTGGGAGCACCAGTAGGAGATGAAATAGAAAAGCCGCAAATGAAAAGGGGTTATGGTAAAAGCAAGGCAAGTTTTACTACACTCAGTGATGTATTGTCTATGGCCATTTACACACAATATTGGCAGAGACCATGTAGTCCACGAAGCCTAAAATGTTTACTTGCTGGCCCTTTGCAGAAAAATGCTGCTGGCCTTGGTCAGCACAGAACCTGCCTGTGATGATCCTGAACAGACCTGGCCTGACCCTGAACAGACCACACACACACACACACACACACACACACACACACACACACACACACAAACACACTAAGGGTACTTATTTATATATCTTATGCCGATAATTTAACAATACCAATAGTTAACATCCAAAGATTGATCGATATGTATTCTATAAAGATTTCTGGGTGCAGTAACATATAGATTCTTGCACATATAACAACGTTTTGAGAATATATATGCTGTCTAGGCATTGTAGCTCACACCTATAATGCCAGCAGTTTGAGAGACTGAGATGGGCAGATCCCTTGAGCCCAGGAGTTTGAAACCAGCCTGGGCAACATAGCGAAATATCTTCACACACACACACACACCACAAGCTGGATATGTTGGCATATGCCTATAGTCCCAGCTACTCAGAAGGTTGAGGTAAGAGGGATTGTTTGAGTCAAGGAGATCAAGGCTACAATGAGCCAAGTTCACACCACTGCACTCCATCAGGGAGACACACTGAGACCCTGTCTCTCAAAGAAAAGAATATACACACTAACAAAGATCTTAATGTGTTTTCTCCGCAGAACTTGTCAGATATGCTCTCCCAGCCCTTCATACTGAGGACAATGGGTACTTGTCCAAGCCCATCCACCATTCTCTCAGTCACATCCTAGGAAGAGATCAGAGAAGATTCCCTCCTAGACCACACAAAATGGACTGATTTGATCATCTTTGGCACGTGTGACCATGACCCACAAGAAGATTTCTAAGTGACTTCGTCACCAGGACTTCCCGCGGTTACCTTTCCTGACTGGCTCCTGGTTCTCCTCTGCTTCCTTGTTGACTCGATTTTGTTCTGGTTCAACAGCAGAACCCTGGTCATCAAGTTCATCTTCTGTTTCATCATCACTGTAGGGAACCACTTCATCATTAGGCTGAGAATCCTCATCAAATGTCGTTTCTGAGTCTCTTTCTGTACTCATTCTGCTGGCAAATTGGAACTACCTGCTTGAAAGGAAAGAGAAACCAGAGTGAATTATGATGACTCTTGCCCAGTTTTTCATTGAATCCTGCCTACATCCTGTTACAATGCCCCTTTCACAGAACATTGTTTTACTAACATGTAAATACTCCGGAATAATACCCCCAAATTCAACTTATCATGCAAACAAGAACAAAACCATTCAGTATTGATGAAATGCTTGGGTAAGATTTTTTAAAAATATGAAGCTGCAAACCTTTTAAACAACAGTGTATATATTTTAAGGCGATATTTCAAATTAGGGGGTCTCTCCCCAGTGAAATAAATTTAGTAGGTAACAATCAACATTAAAATGAAACAGACTACAAAATATCAGATTACAGCACATATAGTAAGAATAAGTACTGCTTGATAAAATAGTTTGACACCTTCACACATTTATTTGCATTGTGGGTGTTAATAGAATTGAATTTCTTACTGCGGATTGCTGGCAAAGTTGAGAAACCACTGCTCTAAGATATCTGGTTTCTGCTAACACTAACATTCTGAGCCTTTGTTCTGATACAACATTTTTAATATAACCTTAGATCTTCCAAGTTTACTGACTACCCAGGAACACTCCTTAGCCTTTCTTTTTTTTTGAGATGCTGTTTTGCTCTTATTGCCCAGGCGGGAGTGCAATGGTGCGATCTTGGCTCATCGCCACCTCTGCCTCCCTACGTCAAGCGATTCTCCTGCCTCAGCCTCCCAAGTAGCTGGGATTACAGGCATGCACCACCATGTCCAGCTAATTTTTGTATTTTTAGTGGAGACAGGGTTTCTCCACGTTGGTCAGGCTGGTCTCCAACTCCCGACCTCAGGTGATCCTCCCTCCTCGGCCTCCCAAAGTGCTGGGGTTACGGGCGTGAGCCACTGCGCCCAGCCTTCCCTGGACCTTCTATTCTCTGAACTGCCACTGCCCAGTCTGTATCCAAAATTTGTGTTTGAGCATCTACTGAATAAGATGACTCTATACAAGTGAGAAGAACAACCTTAGTTATATTTATTTTAGGAAAATATTTACACGAACACCTCAGTTACGGAAACACAGGCTGGCATTTACATGAGCATCACAGTGCCATGTAGTCAGTATTTTAATAATAGCAGCTCATATTTATTTTGTGTTAACTGCATGCCAAGCCTCACACTAAGCACTTTATAGACATGGGCTCATTGAAACTTCCCACACCACCATGATGAATAACAGTATTATTGTTATTCCTACTCCGCAGAGGAGAAAAATCAAAACATTGGAATGCTAAATAACTTGCATAATAATTATTAAAAACTTAAGGCAAAAACAACTGCTTCATAAGGAGAGGTCTATGTTCTATTTTTGTATTATGGTTTATGATAGATTTTAATTGAGCAAAAATTGCATCAAGTAGAACTATATAGCTAATTGCGTGTTTGGCACCAAATCTTAGCCCTCTAAAACAATTTTTATATTCACAAATGGACCCCTAGGAAAATTTCAAATATTTATATGAGGATTTTTTCCAAGCATTATGTAAAACGGCGAGAGCCAAAGCAAGCTGAGTATATAATTGTTGTCAGTGTAAATAAATTGTGGCATCTCATATTATAGGATAATGTACAACAATGTAGATGATCAGAAAGTATTTGATGACATCACATTAATGATGGCATGAAGTTACTAGGTAAGTTATAAGGCCGTATACATAGAATACACCAGGTTATTCATACACACATTTGTTCATTTTCCAAAATTTTAGCAATTCACATACATTAATTTTTTTGAGATGAAGTCTTGCTCTGTTGCCTAGGCTGGAGTGCAGTGGTGCGGTCTCAGCTCACTGCAAACTCTGCCTCCTGGGTTCAAGCAATTCTCCTGACTCAGCCTCCTGAGTAGGTGGGATTACAGGTATGTACCACCACACCTGGCTAATTTTTGTATTTTCAGTAGAGACGGGGTTTCATCATGTTGGCCAGAATGGGACATACATTATTTTAAGTGAGCTGATGCATGCAAAATGCTCAATTCAGTATCTAGCCTGCATTAAGTACTCAATAAACATTAGCCATTAATTTTTCATATGCTTCTTGGTGATCTATATGTTTTCTTTTAAAAAATGTCTATTCATTTCCTTTGCCTACTTTTAAATGGTATTATCGTTATTTTTAAATATTGCTGGCACTCATTATTGCAAAGAAAACTTGGATTCTATTGCATGATGCTGTACTGTGGCACAGTTCTAAAGAGCCGTATAGTCACGGATGCAAAGTTCCTAGCACTACTGGTTCTCAGCACCTCCTGCCATTATCTTATGCCTTCAAAGAATATTCATTCCCCAAGTCCATAGTGTTTACCTCTGGCCGTAGCTTTTCAGTAGCAAACACAAGCTTTCCTGGCAGTACTTACAGTTTCATTGGTTACACTTTTCTGGAAGTACATATACTTTCATGGTTTATACTATTTTAAAATTATTTATTAAATGGATCTAAATTTTTTAAAAGTCATCTTTTCTACTAACTCAGTATCACCATGTTAAATCTAAATTTCCCTACAGTTTTTTTTTTCTTTTTTTCCTGCATCCTGGGTTATTAATCCCTACTAAGTTTTTAGGTTTTAGGATACATGTGCAGAACATGCAGGTTTGTTACATAGATACACATGTGCCATGGTGGTTTGCTGCACCCATCAACCCATCATCTAGGTGTTAAGCCCCGCATGCATTAAGTATTTGTCCTAATGCTCTCCCTCCCTTTGTCCCCCACCTCCAGACAGGACCCAGTGTGTGATGTTCCCCTCCCTGTGTCCATGTGTTCTCATTGTTCAACTCCTGCTTATGAGTGAGAACATGCAGTCCTTGGTTTTCTGTTCCTGTGCCAGTTTGCTGAGAATGATGGCTTCCAGCTTCATCCATGTCCCTGCAAAGGACATAAACTCATTCTTTTTTATGGCTGCAGGTATTATTTGCTTTTGAGTTGAGTTCCTTGTACATTCTGGATACTAGTCCCTAGTTGGATGAATAATTTGCAAATATTTTGTCCTATTCAACAGGAAATACTTCACTCTGTTGATTGCTTCCCTGGCTGTGTAGAAGCTTTTTAGTTTAATATAGTGCTCTTTGTCTACTTTTGCGTTGTTGTTGCCTCTGCTTTTGAGGTCTTAGCCATAAAATCTTTGCCAAGACCAATGTCCTGAAATGTTTTCCTATGTTTTCTTTTAGTAAAAAGTTTTTTTTTTTTTTTTTTTCAATAGAGAATCAGGGTTTCACTCTGTCACCCAGGTTAGGGTATAGTAGGACGATTATAGATCACTGCAACATTAAACTGTTGGGCTCAAAGGATCTTCCTGCCTCAGCATCCCAAGTAGCTGGGACTACAAGCACATGCTACCATGCCTGGCTGGCCTATTGATTGATTGATTAATTGTGGAGATGGAGTCTCACTACATTGTCCAGACTGGTCTTGAATTCCTGGGTCAACTGATCCTCCAACATTGGCTAGAATTATAGGCATGAGTCACCACACCTGGTCCCATTTAAGTCTTTAATCCATCTTGAATTGACTTTTGTATATGGTGAGACAGGGGTCCAGTTTCATTCTTTTGCATGTGGGGATTTATTTCTGGGTTCTCTATTCTGTTCCATTGGCTTACCTGTCTGTATTGTTTTGTTTTGTTTTGCCAATACTATGTTTTGGTTACTACAGTCATTATATATCTATAACAAGGTGACTCTGAAGTTACCACATGAAAATAGTTTTTATTGTTGTAAAATATATGTAACATAAAATTTACCATTTTAGCCTTCTCCTTCCCTCCCCCACCCCGCCCCGCCTCATTATAGCCTCCTGGCCTCAGCAATTCTCAGCCTCCTGAGTAGTTGAAACTACAGGTACAAGCCACCACATCCAGCTAATTTTTGTGTTTTTAGAAGAGACAGGGTTTTGCCATGTTGCCCAGGCAGGTCTCAAATTCCTAGGCTCAAGTACTCTACCTCCCTCAGCCTCCCAAAGAGCTGGGATTACAAGCATGAGCCACCACAGCAGGCCTTGTTTCTCCCCACTTCTTCTTCTTTTTTTAATTTCTTAAAGCTGTACCATTGGGGAGTTTTAATTTTTTTGTTTTTTGGTTGGTTTTCTTTTTTTTTTTCATCTGGGATGACACAAACCATTGTTTGTTTTCTGAGACAAGGTTTCACTCTGCTACCCAGGCTGCAGTGCAGTGGCATGATCCTAGCTCACTACACTCTTTTTTTTTTTTTTTTTAGCGATTTTCCTCCCGAGTAACTGGGATTACAGGCGCCCACCACCACGCTCAGATCATTTTTGTATATTTAGTAGAGATGGGTTTTCCCCATGTTGGCCAGGATGGTCTTGATCTCTTGAACTTGTGATGATCCCCCTGCCGCGGCCTCCCAAAGTGCTGGGATTATAGGCATGAGCCGCCGCGACCGGACTACTACAGTCTTGAATCCGTGGGCTCCAGCAATCCTCCTACCCGTGCCTCGTCAGCCTCCCGAGTAACTAGGACTAGAAGCATAAGCCACCATAACTTTTTTTTTTTTTTTTTTTTTTTTTTTTTTTTTTTAAGAGGTAGGCTCTCCCTGTGTTGCTCAGGCTGGTCTCAAACTTCTGGCCCCAAGAGATCCTCCCACCTCAGCTTTTTATTAGCCATTTTCAGGGTTCTGTGGCATTAAGCGCATTTTATACAAACATTATGTAAGTAGTCTTTTTCATCATTGCTTCCAAACTGACAGGCATCTGGATATTAAGACATCTCCAGCCCTTCGAGGTTGAGAGAGGAAGCAAGCATTAAGGAATGGATTTGACAACCCACATGTCCATGACTCAAAGCAAGCAAGGCCTTGCACAGCCCACTCAGCACCCACACACATCTGCACCAGCTCAGTGAGAAGCAGGGGCAGGGAGCTCTACGCTGAACGTGAAGAAATGTGCTCAACTCAGCTTCCCTGTAGTGTGCACATGTGTGAAACACAGACACACACAGGAGTGATTT